TATAGATTTATTGTCAATTCCTACGAAGAGTATGTCTGAAAAAGCTTACATTTTAATTCAAGTTGGTCAAATGTATTTTTTATTCACACATTTCATAGAAACCACAACTTATTATTCACATATTATATGGAACCCACAACTTAATATATTAGCAAAACCAATCAAGCAATAAAGTAACGTGGATGTCAAAAATTGTGTTTGTGACAATTTTATATTAATAAATGGAAATCACGCTACAGTTACAAATTTTGTGATTGCCCGGCATGAAAAAGTGTATGTGCTCAAATTGTATGGAGTAATGTTGATGCAATGACCTTTTGCTCTAGAGTTGCTGTAGATTGCAGTAACTTTATTGATGCACTGGCCTTTTGTAATATATGGTTTTAACTTAATTTAAGCAAAAAGTTGCCTTTACTTTTTAAAAAATATATGGCGTAAAAAATGTGAAGCCTTACATAGTAGGTAGAGTGGTTGAAAAACTGATCAAGGGTGTCTGTATGTATCAAGAAATTTTTTTGAATGAAACATAGAATTCTCTACACTTTTGTATCTCGGTTTTTTACCTTCTAGTAGTATCAACAGAAGAAGAACTCTTCTCCATTCAAAAACTCACATGGTATCAGAGTTTTTATGTTCTAAAGGGTCTGAGAAAATATTTTTCATGGCAACAACAAGTATTTCTTTGGTTGCACCTTCTTTTTGCACCTCCCGTTTTCATCGGAGAAAGTTATGATTTTTGGCAATAAAGATGAAAGCTTTCTTGATGGCTTATAATCTATGGAAAACAGTAGAAAAGGGTTTTTGAGCCTACAAAAGAGGAACAAGATCAAACTATAGTACAAATCGACAGCAAAAAGAAGAGTTCGTCAAAAACTATAAAACTCTTTCTTTCATCCATTCTGCTGTATTTGAGAACATTTTTCCAAGAATTGTTGCTGCAACTACAGCAAAAAAGGCATGGGATTTGTTACAAGTGGAGTATTAAGGCACAGAAAGAGTTAAAATAGTAAAGCTGCAAATGTTGAGGAGAGAATTTGAGATGTTAAAGATAACTGAAGCACATTCTGTTAGGGAGTACTCTTCAAAACTCATAGAAGTTGTGAACAAGATGAAGCTTCATGGAGAAAAAATTTCTGATCAAAGTGTAATTGAAAAGATCTTGATTAGTTTGCCTGAAAAGTTTGAATAAAAAAAATTTGTTATTGAAGAATCGAAGTACCTTAGCAAGTTGACGGTGACAAAGGTTATTGGGTCTCTACAAGCGTATGAACAAAGAACTAGTAAAAGAAATGGGGAGTCTCTTGAAGAAGTTTTCAAGTGACAAAGTAAATATATTTCGTACAAGAAACCAACGTGTAAGGAACCAACTTCCTGAAAAAGATAACAAAGGTAAATGTGTTGAGGCTACCATAAAAGAAGTTGACTAAAGAGGAAGATATCCACCTTGCAAAATTTACAATAGACCAAATCACTTGGAAAAGAATTGTTGGCACAAAAGCAAGAAGCAATGCAGGTTCTCTAAAAATTTTGGGCACACTGAAAAGTACTGCAAGGTAAAACAAAATAAAAAAACTCTACAAAGCCAAGAAGTAAACGAGTTCAACCAGCTCATTTTACTGGCAAGAAGAAGAAAAACACTTGTTTATGACTTCACAACAATCACAACCATAAATGAACACATATTGGTATTTTGACAATAAAATGTCAGGTAATCAAATATGGAAAATAAAATGGGCTCTCAAACCCCAGGAGCTTTGATTGCCAAACTCAATTTTGCTCCACCCTTAGGCACGTGTGGGTTAAGTCGAGCTGAGCTCGGCAACTAAAGCTCATTGGGTTCAAGATCAAATCTTTTTTTTTTTGTATTTAATTACATCCATGGATTGGGCTCCCACAAGCTATCATGTCAAGCCGACAAGTTGTTTGAGCTCATTTCTACCCCTGTTATGAATGACAAACTAATGAATTCTTAAATGATTTTAGCAATTAAACTGAATTACGATTTATGCATTTCCATTTTCCATTTCTGTAGGAAATTTTTTTTTTGACTAATAGTACAAGCTTTAATTGATGTATCTCTGTGGACAATGTTGAAACACAACATACTTAAATAAACCAATATTCACACAACACAAGCAATTCTCGTGTCACCCTCCAGTCAATATCCAAGAAACTCACCACAAACAATGTTCAATAAAACAAATGAATCTCTAATTTGACCGTATAGCCTACAAAGTGGCAAAGTCCCAAATTAATTGAAATTTAACACAAAATGCCAAAATCCTAGGGGCAAAAATCTTGAGTGAATTGTTTCAAAAATCACTAAACTTATACTAATGTGATCTAAGAGCCAAGTCAGACGAAGGCAAGTGCGGAATGAGACCTGTTGATAATCAAAGGCGAACCGATGATGCGATCGAGGGCAAAGCAAGTGAAACAAGTGATGAAATTGTTCGTTTAAGAAACCATTGATGGGATGACATTTGGGACGCAAAAAGAGGCAACTTTCATGTTCGGGTCGAGAACCGAATCAAATTGGATCAATTCAATACAAGCGGACGAAGACGGAGGTCGAATTTATAACAATGCAACTTCATGGTTATAATTCGGTGCGGCCGCATGGACCCATGCAGGGACTTCTCGAGGGGCAACATTTTCTACCTTGCAACTGCATGGTACAAAAATTCTGCAAACTTTCCTTTTTCCGATTTTTCCATATTTTACAAGATTTTATTCTTTTCCATATTTTTGTGATCTTGGACAATTATGCACGAAATTCTACTAGATCTTTAGGGTTTTTGGCAATTAGTATAAATAGGAACTATCTCCTTAATTGTTATTTTTACAACACAACTTTAGACAATTAATTTGAGAGAATTTCAATAGAGAGACTTTTGTGCTTTCTTCTTCAATATTCATTGATCAATTGAACTTATCAAGGATCTTAATTCTTGTGGCGTTCTACAACTCAGGTGCGGGTCTTAGATTATGTAATCAAGGGGTCCTTCGAGCAACGATCCCGCTGGGTTTGTTGGTTCATTAATTTGGGGTTCAAACTCTAAACCTATAAATTGGCTTTTATGGGTTTTTGGAACAATCTAGTTGTGGGTTTCGTAGTCAATACAGCTATGAGGTTCGCGTCAGTTGGTATCATAGCAATGGTTCCAATTAACAGGTTATATCCTTTCGTTTTTTTCTTCGCTGAGTCTAGTTTCTTAATTTTCCGCATTTTGTTAATTTTCCTTTCTTCGTTGTTTGTGTTATTGTTATTCGAGTCTTAGTTCTCATTTTTTGTTGTTTATCTTGTCTTTCTTCTTTTTTTTTTTAGTCATTGATTTGTTGGTAGTTAATTAGCTTTTATAGTTCTAGTTTACAAAAAAGAAAAAAGAAAAAAGAAAAGAAAAAGTCGAGAGAAAGGAAAAAAAAAAGCCGAAAAAAAAAGAAAGAAGAGAAACATTATATTGTTATTTGTCCAACTGCTACCAACATATTCTATTTCAATTTTCGAGTTAGATTTGACATTGAGTCAATTTCCTTGAAATTCTTTAGTCTCCATTGAATTAGTCAAGTCACATTATTGTTTTCTATTAATTTTTGTCTCCTACTTAAACTTCTTATTTCCTTTACAAATTCTTGAGTCTTTTTGGTTTTACACTTTTTGATTCACATTTGGGTTGGAATTCTACGGGTTTTTAAATCCTTTAAATTCATTATTGATCTTTGAAACTCTTAGAAGAAAGCATTGAGTGGTAAAATGTAGAGTGTCCACGTCCACCTCGCCAAACATTGTCCCTGGCCGGAGCTTCTTGACTGGATCACCTTCTCCAAACTGAAGTTGCTCTTCTTGTAATTGTTTTGTGGACACGTGGGGCATAATTAGCCAATTATACGACCAAATATGTAGTTAATTTCTGTTTTAGTTGGGGAAGGCAGAAGGCTGCATAATTATTGCAGCCACAGGAGCAAAGGTTTTCAAACAAAAAATTCAACCATATGGTGAGCGATCTTGCAAGTGATTGAAGTGATTTATCCTTTTCGACCATACGGTGATTGCTGGCATTGCTGATGGTGGTGGTGATGTCGGATGTGGTAGCGAAAATGGTGATGGGAATATCAGAAACTGAAATGGGGAAGTTTGAAGAATTTTCCATTCTTAGGGTAGTAGATTTGATATTGGGAGGAGGGTGTTAAATAGTTTTTATACGTTAGTGGTTTTGTCTAGTGACGGCAGTAAGGAGTTGCCGGAGAAGAAAGGGAGCAACTGATTTGAAATTTACATTTTTTTTTGTTTAATATTATTTTAAGAATAATGTTGTTTATCATCATGATGATAAATCAGCAGTGATGTGGCAGTGTATTCGGAGTAATGAGATTAGGTTGTTTAATTCCATCTCCTCTTTTTTTCTCTCATGTAAATTAAACTGCTCAATCTTATTACTCCACACACATTGCCACATTACTGTTGATTTATCATCATGATTAGTACCAAAACATTTTCTTACACCTCAAATTCTAAACGTTGTCTAATTATGGATTTTGGGGCCACAAAATAACTACAACACACTGCAACACAACAATGGAAGCCAACAAAGTTTTAAAATCTTCAGTATGATAGCCAAGTTTCCTGCAATAGCAACATATAATAAGCTTTAGAGATTAATATTGAAATAGAATAGATTTTGTTTAAATAATCATTTTTGTGTGTGTGTGTTCTCATTAAGAACCAAACCTTTTTGTCTTGTTCCACCTCGATTGTGCTTTAACAAAATTAAGTTTTAATCTTTTTGAGCCTTGTTAGAACATCTTTAGCACTGAGCCTCTCCTCGGGCAAATCAGTCGTGCATTCTAGTGCTAGTTCCATGATTAATGTGAAGCAGCTCTCCTTAGCTTAAATATTATCTTCAACAGCATTCACTAAATCGACGTCAACTATCTGCACTATCATGTTTGGGAATGACTCAAGCACCCATTTTCTCATTGTGAACTCTCCGACAAACATATCATCTGTTGGCTTCTTCTTGGTAAATGTTTCTATCAGCTGATACTAATCCATTTGATCCATACTCTACAAAATTGGAATGTGTGATCAAATTAGCTAGTGAAATGTTAAATGATGGATGAATAAATAAGAACTATTAAGTAATGCATGGTTACACTGTTAGCATTCGAAAATACACAAGTAGATGATGGAAACCATTTACCTGGAGCCATATATCCAATGGTGCCCAACGTCTTGGTAATTGAAATTCTTTGGTCTTTAGTGAAAAGCTTAGCAATGCCAAGGTCAGCAACATGGGCAACCATATCTTCATCTAAAAGTATGTTGTTGGGCTTCAAATCACAATGGACAATCGAAGAGGGATACCCATGATGTAGATACTCTAGCGCAGATGCCACATCTATCATTATTTTCAATCTTTGAGCTAAATTTAGGAAATAGTTGCTTGAAGAAAGCCATTTGGTAAGGTTTCCATTAGGCATATATTCCAGAACTAAGGCTTTGAGATCAAGGTTAGAGCAACTACTAATTGCTTTGACAAGATTTCTGTGACGAATGTTGCAAATTATTTGGCACTCAGTATGAAAACTTTGGTTTGTATATTCCAAATCTATATTAAAAACCTTAATAGCATCAATCATTCCGTTTGAAAATATTCCCTTGTACACTGAAGCAATACTGCCTTTGCCAATCAGATTCTCTTCACCAAATTTATTGGTAGCATTTAGAACTTCATAATATGAAACCCTCTTGACGGTCATAGGGGAAGTAGATGGAATTGGAAAAGGTGTATTCCTACTATAACATCTTATTAAATAAACCACGGTAATGGCTAGAATAAATACTACGGCAATTGATGGTAAAATATACTTCAAAACTCTAGTTTTGTTTGATATTCTAGTTGTATTATCTTTGCATGGCTTGACCTTAAATTGAGATGCTCCACACAATTCTCTATTGCCTATGAAAAAATCTGACGTGAAGTTCTTAAAAGGCCCTCCATTTGGAATTTCACCAGTGAGTTCATTGAATGAAACATTGAAATACTCGAGGTACTTGAGTTTCTCCATTGACTTGGGGATTACACCATCGAGTTTGTTCTTTGATAAATCCAATCTATTCAATGAAATCAGATTTCCCAACGATTCAGGTATAGGACCATGTAATTGATTGTTTGATAATGTTAGATTTTCCAAATTCTGAAGTTGCCCAATAGTGCTTGGAATATCACCTGAGAATCGATATCCTGATAGAGATAACCCTATTATGTTCTTCATGTTGCCAATTTCTGGTGTCAGCGACCCATTCAACAAATTATGAGCCAAACTCAAAATCAGAATTTCCTTGTTATTCCATAGTGTCGATGGGATAGTGGAAGTCATTGAGTTGTAAGCCAAATAAATTTCTCGTAAAGATGTAAGATTTCCTAAACACTTTGGCAACTGTTGAGAAAGTTGATTATTTCTCAAATCAAGATAATACAGATGTAACAAATTGCAAAGGTTGGCAGATACTGACCCTGTAGTTTATTGAGACTGAGTATCAGCTTTTGCAATTTTCTTAATTGACCCAATGTGTCAGGAATTCTTCCGGTCAATTCATTGCTTCCAATGTTTAACCAATACAAGTTGCTCAAATTACCAATTTCAGGTATTTGACCGTGAAGACTGTTATTGAACATAGACAATTCCTTTAAATTTGATAAATTGCCAATTGAAGGCGGAATTATACCTGTAGTGTGATGTTTGTCAACAGAAAATAATGAATACCAAAAGTACTAATGAGTTGTAGATAGGTACCTGTTAAGATATTAGAATCCAAGTATAAATATTGAAGTGCTAATGAGTTTCCGATTTCATATGGAATGCTTCCTGTAAATACAGTTTAGGCTATTAGGTAAAATATTTAAAATTTCATATCAACTAATAATACTAAAATTGTAAAGATTAAATATAATCAAAATATAAAATTCAAATATATTGTTAAAATAAGAATGATTCTAGAATGACAAATGTAAAAGTTAATTAAGAATATTTAATTATTTAGTAGACAAGGTGATGCACGCGATAGGAACAATATACAATAATAAAGAATAAACCTAAAAGGGTGTTAATTCTTAAAATGTCTGTGAATGTAGGAAATCAATAATTGGTTGATCCACAATCGAATGCAAAATAATTGATCTAGGTCCACAATCTGTTAATTCCATAGAAAAGCATTTCATGTGAAAAAAATAGTAAAATATAAACTCTCACAATTTTTATAATGTTTTAATCGAAATACTCCAAAGTACAAAGCTCATCTTTGCTGCTAACAGAGAAACACCAAATCATTAATCATAATAAAATTAAATCCTAGGTCCTTAAACTACCAAAATAAAAAAATTAATCCAATTAAAAATGAAAAGATTATAAAATACTGACTAAACATTATAATGAGGCTAGCCGCTAGCGGTATCCTTCTTCATCCCATGTTGATTGGGTACATAGGATTTTATGTTTGTATTTCTGGTAATTAATGAAAATGGACCTTGGTGCATGATCGCCATACTTTATGGTTTTTACGCCTAGCCGATTTAGGCTCGTAAAAGCATAAAGCTAGGTCTTGACACTTAGCCATGCTTTACACTTTTTAAAATATTGAATTAAATATATAAAATAAATGTAGGAGATCTAGATACGAACCCATGAAACCATTGCGTCTCAAATCTATATATACAAGTACTAATAGGTTTCCAATTTCATTTGGAAAATTTTGTGTCAATCCATTTAAACATATAGAATTTGATATATAAAATGTTCAATTAACATAGAATAGCTCTTATGAAAGAGAGGAACTACAAACTAATTTGAAGATGGTGATTAAGTAACAATAAAGTGATTGTTGCATGATACATTTATAATAATTTTTGAAATAAGCCATACATGCTGAAAAACATTTGTCAAAAGAGAGTAAAATGCCTAGGTAGTAGCCTAAACCCTAAAGTCCATTTAGATTTTCCATCAGCATAAAAATCTTTGTTACAGGCGACCTTTTAAATTTATAGTTTTTGTAAGTTAAATTGCATCATAGGTCCTCAAACTAAATAATTTTTAAGAAAAAAATTAATTAACATTGAAAAGATTAACAAGTATTAGCTAAAAATTATAATGAGGCTAGCCACAAGCAGTATTCATCTTTATCCCAATCATATTTGGTACTTTGGATTTGATGTAATTATGTTGTGTTTCTAGTAATTATTTGGAAAATACCATGCATTTTGTGTACATTTGTCAGCAGAGTGTAATATGCATAAGTGAAAACCTAAAGTTCATCAAATGTTATATTAACACACAAAAAGATCTTACGAAAGACATGATGTGCCAATTAATTTGAAGTTGATTATTAGGTAACTATAAGTTATTTTTGTATGATATATTTTTACTAATTATTTGAAAAATGCCATAAATGCTGAAAAACATGTCAAAAGAGTATAAAGTGACTAGGTGGTAGCATAACTGCATAAGGCTCGTTTAGATTTTCCATCAGCATATATATCTTTGTTAAAGGTTAGGTGACCATTTAAATTGAGAGTTTTCATAACTAAATTTCATCCTAGGTACTAAAACGATATAATGAAACTAGCCACTAGTATTATCCATCTTCATCTGGATTCGAAGTAATTATGCTGTAGTTTTAATAATTACATGAAAAATACCACATATTTTGAAAACAATTTGTCAAAAGAGTGTAAAATGCATAGGTGGAAACCTAAAGTTTCATAAAATGTCAAATTAACAAAAAATAGATCTTATGGAAGAAAAAGTTTCATAAAAAATCTTTGTTAAAGGTGACCATTTTAAATTTAAAGTTTTCATAACTGATAATGCATTCTAGGTCCTCAATCTAAGAAATTAAGAATAAAAAAAACTAAATTCAATTAATACTGAAAAGTTTAGCAAGTATAAGCATGTTGGGTCCTTAAGATTTGATGTGATTATGCTGTGTTTCTAATAAATATTTGGAAAATACCACACATTTCGAAAAACATTGCCAAAAGAGTGTAAAATGCATAGGTGGAAACCCAAAGTTCGTTTAGATTTTCTGCCAGAATAAAAATCTTTGTTGTATACGAAAATTTTAAATTTAGAATCTTGGTATAAATCTTTGTCAAGACACTAAATAAACAAATTGGATTGCATAATTAGAAGATCTATTTTCCTTTTCAATTACATTTATTCTAAGTGATTTGCATTCCTAGATTAGATATATTCCTATTTTACACCACTCATTGTATTATTAAAGGGCTGTATCACGTCCATTAACATCAATGAGAATTATACTTCATTCACAAAATTATACTGTGTAAAATTCTAACATGGTATCAGAGCATCGGGAATGACCGATCTGTGCCAGCAAGTGCACCAGCTGGAATTAAAGAAATTGGGCTGCTGAATAAAAAAAAATCGGCTGCTGGAATTGGAACACAAAGTCGGCCGCATTTTGGACAGAAAAAGGCAAAGGCTGCTGGTTATAATTTGAAGTGGAGTATAATAAAATTGGCGGCCAAAGAAGAGGAATCTATATATACAAAAAGGGCTGCCTGGGAGAGAATTGAGAATCATATATACATACCAACAGAAAGGCGGTAGCTTTTGCTGGGGTTGAATTGAATGTATTGGACACACAGAAAACGGCAGATTGAGGAGGCTGGAAATTGAACTGCGTAATTAACAAAGTCAGCGGCTGCTAGGGAGTGGATTAGTGGGCTGTAAAGTTGACTTGTATACATATAATTCCCACAGAAAATCAAAGCAAGGAAGGAATTGGAACTAAACAGGTGGCGGCTGCAAGATATGGGCTGTGTCATCGTCGATCAATGTTCCTCCACTGTGAGCGTTGCCCCGGCTCTCTCTACCGAGCAATACAACCAATTATTGGAGCCATTAAAACCCACTTCCATGGCATTTGTAGGTGAGTCCCGCCCTCCGTCCAATTTTTCCCCCAATTCCCCTTCCAGTTTTTCCCAAATCCCGTCCCCCTGGGTAATAGATAGTGGTGCCACCCATCATATTGCACTCACCAATTTAAAATCATCTACTTGCCCCCCTTTTGTTTCTTTACCTACAGGTGCACATGCCCCCATTTATTCTATAGGTGATTTCCCTTTAACTCCTAATTTAACTCTCTCGAATGTTTTATCGGTTCCTGATTTTAAATTTATTTTATTATCTGTCAGTCCACTAACTAAATCTCTTAATTGTGCCGTGACCTTTTTCCCCATTTTCTGTGCATTTTACGACCTAACCACGAAGATGGTAATTGGTGTGGGTGAAGAGTGTAATGGATTATACTACTTCAAGCATGCCCCAGTCACCACTCTCCAAGAATCTAGCCCTATCTCTTTTGACACATGGCATCAACATTTGGGTCACCCCTCGTTACAAAATATTCCTTGTTTTAGTCCTCTTCCTCAACATATTGCTCATTGTGACATATGTATTCATCGAAAACATACTCGGTTACCTTTTCAATCAATTCCTATTAAAAGTTTGATGCCTTTCGATCACATTTTCTGTGACATTTGGGGGACTTATCACACTGCCTCTCTTACAGGTGCACATTATTTTTTTGACCATAGTGGATGAATACAGTCGGGCCACATGGGTATACTTAATGTGCTTCAAATCTGAAACCTTGGCTTGTATCCGTGCATTCTTTTCTATGATCCATACCCAATTTAATTCTAAGATACATCACATAGGCACCGATAATGGTCAAGAATTCCTTGCTCGTACTATTTAGAATTTTTTCTCTGAGCAAGGTACAATTCATGAACATACTTGCGTGGAAACACCACAATAGAATGGTATTGCTGAGCGCAAACACCGCCACATATTAAATGTAGCTCAATGTCTCCGCTTTCAAGCAAACCTTCCTCTCTCCGTTTGGGGTGAATGTGTTCTCACAGCCATATATCTTATCAATCGCATTCCATCATCCTCTCTCCAACATATTTCTCCCTTTGAGCGCCTTTATCACACCCCATCTCGTTATGATCATTTACGGGTGTTCGGTTGCCTTTGCTATACCCACACCCCTTTTGCTCACCGTGATAAGTTCCATTCCCGTGCTCGTCCTTGTGTCTTCCTAGGACATCCACCTACTCATAGCGCATACCGAGTTTATGACTTAGAGGACAAGAAAATTACCATATCTAGGGACATCACTTTTATCGAACATGTTTTCCCTTTCAAACTACAACCCCAACGTTCCCCGTCATCCCTAGTCTTGCCTCTTACTATCACTGATCCTTCTCTTCCACCAGCACCATCCCCTCATCTTTCACCAGCATCATCCCCTCCTCTTTTGCCAACATCATCCCCTCCTCCTCCACTCTCTG